GTCTATTTTTTTTTAGTTCCTTAAGGCAAATAGCACTGTGTGGTATTTTAAAGTGTGGACTATTGGGATGGGTGAATGAATAGATAGAGGCAATAACAGCCTCACCCTCATGGGGTTTAACAGCTAAAATAGGAGCCATGCAGACTGAGATGTGGAGGACAGGCTTTACATAATCTGTCTGCCCAGGCTTACCTTTCAAACAGGAATAAAACCTACTGAGAAGGAGGTTAAGCATTTTTAAGCACCCATGGAGGATTGGGAATAAAGAATGGTGTCGAGGTAGAGGGATAGTGTATTGTTAGTGTGGAGACAAGTTCAGGAAAACATTCCTGCCACAGGCTCAGAAACACATAAGTGTTTTTTCCTTCTCTCCAGGGGAAGGGTTGGATAAATTAAAATTAAAAAAAATTAAATGTATCATTTGTCTTATAAACTTTGAACTTATAATATTCCTGAGAGAAAAATACTTGGTGGGCGTCATTAAATATTAATCATTACAGATCAGTTTAGCAAAGACATTTTAGTCAGGTTGGAACAGCTTTTAAGAAACCAATTACAATGTGGGTTATGAAATAGAAGTGGAAGAAACCCAGGGAAAATATTAGAAAATGCAAGTCCCTGCACCCAGTGGAATTTTTACAGGGAATTCTGGCTAACTAACTTGTTGAGGCTTAAGACAGCAATAAAAATAATTCCTTGTGCTAAGGATATAAGAATTGGTAAAAAGCAAAAGCTAAGATTGCTAAAACTGCAAAAACATATTTTTTAACAAATACTTTCTTTTTCTTATTTAAGTATTTGATTAAAGAGTAGGTAGGAGTTACAAAAAAAATCATCTTATGGTCACCGTATAAAATTTACTTATATAGAAATTCCACAAATTAGACATTAGTATATAATTGGAGGACATGAGGTATTTTTTTTCATTTTCTAGTATGTTGATTATTGAAAGAATTATGAAATATTTTTCTTTCAGGGTATTCTTTTAGGTTTCATTTCTTTAGTTGTATTTCATGGTAATATGGGTGATTCTGGCAGTCTTTAAAGACTTATAAAATGATGTACCTTAAAGATACTAGCATGTCAGTGGTAAGCTTCCTCATTTTTTGCATGTGAAAAAAAAATGTAGGTGGTTGAATAAGTCAACAATTTTAAAGGGAAGGGTCAACCATTCTAAATTTTGAGTGCTTATTAACAGAGTGCCAAAATATATGAAGCAAAAACTGATAGAACTCTAAGGAAAAATAAACAAATTCATAATTATAGCTGGATATTTCAATATTCTTCTTTCATTCATTGATAAAACAGTAGGCAGGAAATCAGAAAGACTATAGAAGACTTGAACACTATCAGCCAACAGACCTAACTGACATTTAAAGAATACTCCACCCAGCAACAGCTGACTACACATACTCAAGTGCACATCAGGCATTCTCCAAAACAGACTATGTTCTGGGCGATAAAACAAGTCTCAATAAATTGAAGATGATTGAAATTATACAAAGTCTGTTGTCTAACCACAATGGAATGAAACTAAAAATCAATAACAGAAAGATATCTGGAAAATCTTAAAATATTTAGAAACTAAATAACATATTTCTAAATAACCCATGGTAGAACTCACAATAAAAATTAGAAAAAATTTAGCTATATGAAAATAGAAGTATAGTTTATTAAAATTTGTGAGAGTCTGATAAACAGTACTCAGAGGGAAATTTATCACATTAAATGTGTATATTATAAAAGATATTTAATATAAAAGAAGAAAAGTCTCAAATAGGTAATCTAAGTTTCCACCTTAAGAAGTTAGAAAAGGAAGACAAATTGAAAATAAATTAAATAAAAGGAAGAAAATAATAAAAAACAGAGATCAATGAAATTATAAAAACAGGGAAAGAAATGAAATAAAACCCAGGATTTTTGACAAAAGCAATAAAATTTAAAAACCTCTATCCAGATTATTAGGAAAAAATGAGAGAAGATAAAGTTTTCAATGTTAGAGATGAAAGGATATTATTAGAATTTCTGTAGGCATTAAAAGAATACTTAGGAAATACATAGGAACAAATATGCCAATAAACTTGATAATTTACACTAAATGGATACAAATAAACAGCCTAAAAATATGTCACCCAGTAATTCTACTCCCAGAACTCTATGCTAAGTTAATACATTTAAAATGTGGACAAAGCTTTATGTACCAATATGCTTATCAAACAGTTTTTTATAATATAAGGAAGTTGAAATCAACCTTAAATTTCCAATAATAGATTAGTAAAATAAACAATGATTAACCCTAATGATAGCGATGACAGAGAAAATTCCCTTATATAATATTAAATGAAAAAGTAGAGAAAAAAATTGTCAACAAAAGGTGATCTCAGTTATAAAATATTTATAAATGAGAACTGGGAAAATTTACCCTTACATTAGGCTACTAGGTTTATTTTTAACTTGCTGGGTTATTTTCTTCTTTTTTTTCTGTATTTTCCAAGTGTTCTAAATATGAAATATCAGTGTCCTATTTTAACTGTCATATGCCACAAAACTGGTTGTATAATTTAAAAAATAGAAAGTATTCTATTTCTGTGAACAGAAAAGAGAGAACCTGTGCTTTGAATCCAGTTGATTTTGCTTTAGAAATTTAAGTCCATGCCTTTTGGGAAGAATGAGCAGGTATTGAAATCTTTGTGTGCCTCATCCTTCCTCTGGTAGGCACACTGCGAGCCTGTCTTTGCGCTGTCTGTTTCATTCAGCCCCAAATCTGCATCTCCACTTCATTCCTCTCACTGTCTTTTTTAGTCCAGGTGTCTGTGTTTCCTTAAGTTTTCCTTTTTCTTATTGGCTCACAGTCATTAAAGCATATTTTACCAGGAAATCATTTCTTATTCTTTTCTCTCTCATGCCTCATATAAACTCTATGACTGACTGGAGATTTCTAGCATTGGTTGAGAACTAACTCTCTTTTCCGTTTGTGCATCTTCCAGATCCTCCCAGGCCTTGAGTACTTCACATCCGACTGTAAGAGCCAGGTCCATTGCCCAGTCCCTAGCCACCCACTGTCAGCTCATTCTACAGTAGCTGTTGAAATATATTTGGGACACAATATATGTCCTTTCCTTTCCAAAAATCCTGTAGTGAATGACTTCCAGTTTCTTATAAAATCCCTATAACTAGTCAGAATTATAAATCATTTAGTTGAAAACCTACTGGCCTGCATCTTAAATAGACCTGAACTCCCTTTTGGTACATAAAGGCTAATGTACTTGAACCATCTGAGGATTATGTCCATTGTTTTAGCTCCGAGTAAATGTATATGAACATGTTCTTTATGGCCTTTCATTTTCATTTTATGTCTTTATGTGACAAAGACATAAAATATACTAATTCATTGGGTTGGCATGTTACATGAGGTACTGCTGTTTGTGGTGGCTATGTTTTGAGGATTCTCTTTGGGGCCTCTAATCCTCAGTTGTCTCATCTAGAATTTTTGGCAACATCTTTGATCCCTTCCTCTCCTTTGACCCCACAGTTATCCTCAGTTACAGTCTTTTAGCTGGTTTTCTCAGACCAAAAAGTATGCCATTCCAATTTGTTCTTCATAAAGAGACCAGAGTAATCTGTGAAATACCATTCCTCTCCTGAAAACCCTGGACTGACTTTCTGATTTATTTAAGAAAAACCTCCCAAATCCGAACCCCACCTCTTGATCTCATTGCATCCACTTTGTTCAGCTTCCGTGTTCCTAAGCCATTGGGCCTTCCTTCAGTTCTTCAGACACAACAAACTCTCACCTCAGCATCTTCACACGTGTCTGACTTCTATCTTCTGCTTCCCTTACCTCCAACTCTCCCACCACCCACCCGTAAGTTTTTACCTGGCTGATTTATTGATTTGTACTCAGCATTCAAATATTGCTTTAAATATCACTGCTCAGAGGAGCTTTCAAATGTAAATTTAGTTCTTATTATTGTTTCCTATTCTTTTTATAATGCTTACAGTTTTTCATTTTATTGTTATTTATTTAGTTTATTTGTTTAATGCCTTTTTCTTCTGCAAGCTGAAAAATTGCATGACCGCATACCTCATTTTGTTTCTTATTTGAGCAGCACATAGTAGGTGTTCATTACTGTTGAATGAATGAATGAGTGAAATAAAGAAAAAAATGAATTGTATAAATAATAAAAAAAATTCAAGAGAACAAAGTTGCAACTTTACTATCAGAGAAAAGTATTAAAGCATGTATTTTAAATCTATTAGTAAAATTATTTGAGTTATCATTCCCATTTTTAGTGAAGGCTTGGGGGAAGGATACATTTATATATTCCATGAGAGAGGGACCTCTTCTGTGTTCATTTTTATTTAGGTATTAAATATTTATTGAATGAGTAAGAGGTTTAATATAGTCGTTATGGAAAGGAGTCTAGCTCAATGTATTTAAAGTATAAAATTGTTTTTATTGACCCTGATTTCCACCTAAGAATTTGTCATAAGGAATATCACAAATTTGGGAAAGGTCATATATTTAAAGATGTTTCTCACCGTGTTATTTATAGGAGGAAAATTTGGAAGCCACCTAAATGCCCAGTAAAGCATGCTGTGATAGCTAAGTATAGTGTACCCATTAGATAGTATCCGAGTAACCTACATGCTAAAGGTTAGGATAATAGAATGACTTCAGAAATGTTTACAGTATGAAGATAAATAAATGATCACAGTTTTATAATAATGTTTACAAATCCTACCCACAGGAAAAAAAGACTGGAAAGAAATATGTCATGCTGTGAATGGCTCAGGTCATTTCTCTCTCTCTCTCTCTCTCTCTCTCTCTCTCTCTCTCTCTCTCTCTTTGTACATGCACAGGTTTTATTTTTTACAATAGTTATATGTATAACATAGCTTGTATATTGAGGTTCAGTTTCACATTTAGAACATTTGAATGAATCTCTAATCTTGTATTTTGTAACCAGAGACCTGAAACTCTGTGCTGTCTTTTCTAGGATGACCGAACCTTCGCCGAAAGTGCCCATGCGCATGGGCTAGATCACTCATCATCTTGGCAGGACCACAGTTGCTTCCTGTCTGCTCCACGGTTCTCACACTCGGCCTGTAAGTAATGAAGTCCTGTACTGCTTTTTTAAATTGGATTTAAGGAAATGCAACTCATGGGAAGATTAAAATGTAAGGCCAATCCATGATAGTAATATTCATGTTATGTGTTTGAAAAAATTTTCATTAGGAATCATGCAAAAAAATGCTCCTCGAGTACACTTATTATCCAATTTACTACAGATATATATGGGATCCCTCTTTTGTAGACCTTACCCTCATCAGAAACACTTAAATCATCCAAGGTAATAATCTTAATTAAGCAAATTTTGTGTGTGTGGAGATTATTGGTAACTGTGGATGAATGGGTAAAGGAAGTTAGAGGGTATCACAATACAATCCAAATCATCAAAGAGTGGAAAATCTTTGCATAGAACTATTCAGAAATATGTAATCTTTTGCAAAGAATAAGGTTCTTAAAGTGATTACAGGCTAGATTTCATTCTGTGAATACACTGTAAATATTGATAGTACATCATCCACACCAAGAAGGTATAGGGTCTCTTGACCCAGGATACCATCACCCACCAACCACCCGTCCCCTTCAAGTTTCAGCTTATATGTAATGTCCTTAAAGAAGCCTTCAGAAGTTATAGTTTTAAATATGATTTCTGTTATGAGTATCCACAATGCATTCCAATTTTCCGTTAAAACCCGTCTCAGAATAATTATGAAGCTATTTGTTGTTTGAGTTGACTTATTTTTTATTTATTTATTTCTCTGCTCACTGAAGATTGAACGCACGATCATGGGTACGATGTGTGTTCTGTTCATCACTGCTTCTTCGGCATCCTGCATAGTACTGGGCACATAGTGAATACTCAACTAATATTAAATAAATGAGTGTAGGAATTGTTTTTTTAAATCTACTTTTATCCAAACCACTAGGACTCAAATGTTATTTAATGGTTTCTTATTTAAATAATCATTTAGCTTTTCAGTTTACCATAGGCATAGAGTGTGTGCATAAAATCTTGAAAACCCTCTTATTTAAAAAAAAATAAAAAAAATTTGAGGTTACTATAAAACAAAATACCAAAATAAACCACAAGGAAATAGGTCAAATCCAAAAGTGATAATTCTCATTTTTTGCTGATTTATATTTATGGATTCATTGAATAAATATTTATTAGTTTCTGATAATGTTTTGGTTTTCATTATATCACGATTATTTTATTCCAAGAGCTAAGCATTTTCTCTTCCCTGTCTTAACCATTTACCAAGTGACTTTATATACCTGTATAAACCCTCTGCTATTTTAATCTAGCAGCTACTCTTTAATATGAACTGTTATCTCAAGTTGGTTATAATACCTCAGGTTCTGATATACAGAGGCCAGATTTCTTATTTTTCATATTAAGAAATGGAAAAATTCCCTTAGGACTGTGTGATGTATATGGACATGGAAGAGGAGGGTGGGCAAAGTAACATCAAATATTCTATCCCATCCATCAAGGCATTCACATGCCTGGCCTGGAGATAAACAGCACCGGAGCCCAAGTCATTGCTCCATGGTTGTTTAATTCTGCCTTTGTGAACTTCATAAGGTGCCCACAAAGGCACCTAGAAGGAAGTGGTTAGAAGAGGGAAGAAAGCGTCATGACTTTTAGCATTTTGTTTAATATTATTACAGGCAGTGAGAGAAACTATGTTTAGCTTTCTACTTAGTAGCATTTCATGGCCAGCTGTGGTCATTTCTTGATAAGATATATTATACTCCTCATAGGCAGCCATTCATTTCCATATAAATTATCTCACTTACATGAATATACAGTTAAATAAAGTAGAAAGAAAAGATCACTGAGAACATAATTAGTGTTAAAAAATTGTATTATTGCCTATGCTGTAAAATCTGACTGAAAACTTACTTTCAAAAGTAAACCTGTTGTCCTGATCATTGTGGCTCAGTTTGTTGGGCATCATCCTGTGCACCAAAAGGCTGCCAGTTCAGTTCTCCTTCAGGGCACATGCCTGGGTTTCCAGTATGAGATGTTTCTCCCTCTCTGACTCTGGCCAATCTGAGCAGGGTTTTTACTAGAACACAGTGTACATGTTCTGTACTCGAAGCTACACTGTGTTCTAGTAAAAAGATTGGCCAATCTGAGCAGGGTTTTGACTAGAACACAGTGTACATGTTCTGTTCCCGAAGCTACACTGTGTTCTAGTAAAAAGATTGGCCAATCTGAGCAGGGTTTTTACTAGAACACAGTGTACATGTTCTGTACCCGAAGCTACACTGTGTTCTAGTAAAAAGATTGGCCAGAGTCAAAGAGGCGGTCTATTACAAAAAGAACTGGTGTTGCCTCGGAAGTGGGGGGTAGTCTTATATAGCGAATATAGGCCTAAACTTATGTTTTAACTGTAAAATTAGGGGGTCATTTTATACGCCAGAAAATACGGTATTCTCATCTTTGACAAATTTATTTTATGATTTTTCTCACATACCTACCAAAATATTTTGAAGGATACTTTAGAAAATTTATTCATAAGCACCTTATTGTTAAACATTTTATGTTATTGAATTAAACTTAATACTAAAAATCACATTTATTCTTATTTGATTTTCTAGTGAACCTTGAAGTTTCTATGGTTTTTCATAATATGGTATCTTAGAAATAGATTAAGATCACCCTGAATACTTCATTTTTGTAGCACAAACAATTTCATCTTATTCATAAAAATTGTTCTGTAATTTTTCTTTAACCTCCATTTAAATTTCTAAAATTACAAAAGAGAGATATCAACACCAACAAAGAGAAAAACAGCACCTACTGTAAATTCATAATCCAGGGAATAAAGGAGTAAATTAAAATAATACTTTTAAATGTCTTTAAAAGTATTAATGTCCTCAGATATAAGAGGAAATATTATCTCCATTAAAAACAAGAGCAAGATGCAAAGAAAAAGGAACACAGGATAAAAGGTGTCAGAAATTTAAAATATGTTAAATTAGGTGAAAAATGAAGTTGAGAAAATCTCAAAGAGTAGAAGGAAAAAAATATGGCACAATAAGAAAGAAAAGATAAGATATTTAGAAATTCAGTTCAAGAGGAAGGATTACGAGAGTGTTGGGATGAGAGAACAAGGAAAACAGAAGAAAGGCCAGAAGTGGGTGGGTTAAAAAGGCCCGCCCGCAAGTACCTGGTACACTGATGTCATCCTGTTCAGTTCTCTCACCCTCTTTCAATGTTGATGTTCATGGACCTCAGATCCCAGGCCTTTCTCTGCTCAATGCAGAAAGGGAGGTGAATGTTTTGCTTTTGTATTTCTGAAAATGGATTTCTTCCCCTTCATTCTGGCAAAACTTTGGCTGGCTATAAAATTTTATGTTGAAAACTACTTCTGAAGTCACGGCACAATTATCTTCCAAAATCTAGTGTTGCTGTTGAAAACTTGATATCTTTACTGTTTTGACTCCTTCTCCTTGGAAGTGATCTTCTCCATCACCACTAATTCTCCATGCAGCCTGGGAACTTTTAGGACCTTTAACCCCACCAGGTTTCATGATGATAAGCCTCCCTGTGGGTCTTGTCTTACTACCTTATAAGATACTTGCTGGGTGAGCCCTTTTAATCTGGACACTCATTTTCTTCAGTTCTCTCATACCAAAGGAAGAATAGAAAAAGTCCATTAGGAAAATCTTTAAGAAATAAAAGAATTGATACATTATTTGCTTCACTTGAGCACCTTAGAAAAAACTACTCATAGAAATATGGCAAATATAATTGAGTTATTAGAAACAATTATGGGTGGTCATAGAGCAAGAGCAAATAAGAAACAAAAATAAAAACATGGGCCAGTTAATAATTCCAGGGGGAAAAGAATGAGCAAGAAAAGAAACATTTACATAGCATACCTATTAGGTTGTGTGAGCCATATTTATATAGTCATAGTCTAATATAAATACTCACTATTGACATAACTCGAAGTTCAGATGTAACTATATAGGGAGGATGGGATGAAGAGAAGTGGATGGGTGTGGATAAGTCTAAAAATGATAAATAAATAAAATAGCAATATAAGCTTCTTTTATTTACAAGAATTGAAGTAAATATGGAAAATAAAGCTAAAAGAGTTGATTGTGGTTGACCCTGGGGAGCAGGATTGTGGGATTGGAGGGATGGGACAAGAGACTGCCATCTTTGAATGTAGCCCTTTGGTGCTCTTTGATATGTATATGTGCGCTTGGGCTAAAAAAGGAATCTTACACTAGCAAGTGTTTAATTACCTTCAGAATGAACCATGAAGGCTGGAGTTTAGAGATGTAGAGACCAGTGTAGGGACATTAGGAGTAGTAAATAACAGTAGGGGCTGAGTTGGACAGGAGTTTATGAGCCCACAGCACAGGCTCCTTCCTCCTCGAGTTGGGATTTGTACTGGATGAGGCCCTAGTGCTGTAGATGCTAAGGAATTCATTCTGCTGACTTAGGTGCCCTGTCAAACTGTGACCAAAGTACAGCAAAGAATCACTGACCGTGGAAAAAACAAAGGAAATGGGAAAATACTGCATAATTTGTGGTCTCTGAAATGATCCAGCATTAATGAAAGTTTGTTTTCAGTAGTAATTTATGTCAGCTTTGTATAGTTCAGGTCAATTCAAGAAAAGGTAGATTCCTTCTGCCAGGAAGAAGGGGAGAAATGTATAAATTGTAAGTTTATATTACCATTAGAAATGGGAACACAGAAATCCATTCTTTAGAGCCATGATTACGACCAAATTTATCCTGGCTGCCTGGAAGTTATGGCTGAGATTCAGGACACTCTTTTAGAAGACTTGGATTCCATTACCTTCAGCTGTAGACAGTGGGGGCTTAGTAAGTAAGAGAGACTCATAATGCCAGCTTTTGAAACTGTCATTTTTACTTTTTATAAGTAGCGACTGACCACTAGTCTCCATGTATAGCTCCTTTTAGGCTAAAGGGACACACTCCAGGACTGGCCGCCGGGACCAGACCAGATGTGAGTGAGGCTGGTGTCATAGTGATGACTTCTCGAGTCTCCAGTCCTTTGAGACTAAATGCTTGATATTTGTGGAGTTGGTATCTCTAAACTAAGTTTTAAAAATATATGGGGATTGCAAATTTTCTTGTAATTCTAAACGGTTTTAGGGGAAAAAAGTTATCTGAAGATTATTATAGGTGTTGGAAATGAATCATGCATATTAATTTAACTTGATAGTCTTAGAAAAGCAAATCAATGAAAGTTGCTAAAAAGGACCATATTTTACTTCCTTACCTCAGCTTACTTGTATAAAGAGGAAAGAAAAGTTAAGTATTCTCACTTTACCTTAGAACGTGCCTGTAGTGGGAGTAAGTCCCTCGGGTGAAACAATTTCTCCGCAACCAGAATAGCACACACTTTTCACTTCTATGCTGAGTGTCAGGATCCCCTCGCCTAACTCTGAATAGAGACTTCCTATGTGATCCTCCACTTTGCACATAAAGTGCCAAGGATTTATGGCTGTAAAAATATTGCAGTACTGATGAGGTAGAAAAACGTTTTTTGCCTTTGAAAGGATTTTTTATTTTATTTTATGAAAGCACTAGCCTTTCTGTTTCTCTATTCTTATAGGTTCATTTTACATGATAAGGAGTGTGTGTGTGTGTGTGTGTGTGTGTGTGTGTGTGTGTATGTGTGTCTATCTTTTCACTGACCATTTAGGTACCAAATATTTTCTGATTATTGTAATTTGACAAGGTACACTCTAGATGCTTTCTAGAAAGAAACTGGAAAATCCCTAACTGGCCATCTCTTAAAATTTTCTTAAATACATTCAGTTGTTCAAGCAACATTTGCTAAGAGGCTGTGCAGAAGGCTCTCTGGCTCTGGGGGGATACAGTAGGTCACAAGACAGGAGAGGTCACCTCATTTCATAGAGGAACAGGGGGTAAACAAGGAAACAATTTGAAATGGTGATTGTGGTGTGAAGGTGAAATGATGGAAGCTCCTGGAACAGGGCTGCTCCCTTAAATGAGTGACCACGAGATGGTTTTCGGAGGAGGTTACAACTGAGCTGAAGCCTGGATGGTAAGAAGAAGCCACTGAGTTAAAATTGTGCGGAAAGTTTTCCTTCGATAGGGAGCAAAAAAAAAAAAAAAAAGCAGAGAAGAAAGGGAAATGGTCTTCTAGAGAGATGGAACACTGAATGAGCAAGTGAGAGTCAGTGAGAAAGAGTAAGCGATAGAGAGAGGAGAGAGAGGGAGAGAGGGAGGGAGGAAGGGGGAGAGAGAGAGAGAGAGAGAGAGAGAGAGAGAGAGAGAGAGAGAGAGAGAAATGAGGTCTCTAGGGAGTTAAAGTCAGATGTTTGGATTTTATTTCAAGTTCACTGGGAGGCCATTGGTGGTGGTGCTGGTGCGAGCATGTAGTAGGGGTGATGCAGAAAAATGACCTATGCTGATTTACCTTTTAAATAATAACTCTGGCACAGTTGGGTGGAGCATCATCCCATACACTAAAATGTCATGGATTCAATCCCTGGTTGGAGCTTGTATGGGAGGTAACCTATCGACCTATCATTTCTCTCTCTCTTTCTCTCTCCCACCCCCCTTCCTCTCCCTCTTCCTTTCCCTCTCCTTCTGTCTCCCCCAAACAATAAAAACATACCATCAGGTAAGGATTTTTTAAAGAAAGGTAGCTCTGGTTGTGGTGTAGAGAAAAGCGCAAGATGAAAACAGGAAAAGGTAGCTTGGGCTAGTGTAAAGTAGAAATAGCGTAAAGTAGAAGAACTTGGAGGCATAACCATCAGAATTCAGTCTTAAATGGAAAGGTGCAGGAGGCAGGACAAAGGAAGTAAGGAACCAAGGTCTGAGAAACTAGATAATTGGGTGTTTCATTTTTGAAGGTGGAGAAGAGAAGAGGATGGGCAGGCATCTGAGATTAGAAATCAGGCAGGAAGATTTCACATAGTTGGATATATCTGGCTGGAGCTCACAGGAGATGTTAGAGGTAGTAAAAAAAAAAAAAAAAAACCACAACAGAATACCTTACATTCTAAATCTAGTCTCAATTTCCTTTCATGAAACAAAGAATATTCTGCATAAAGGAGACCCTTAAAATTTCTCTTTCCAAAATTCTGTGTACTTTACACCATTACATACTTCTACTCTCAGATACTTCATATCCTTCTCCCCCAAATTAAATCACACGGATTTTTTTTTTTTTTTGAAACTATAGTAAACTGACTAAAGTTATTCCTACATTGAGAGTCTGTTAGGCCATGTAAAATTGACAGAAAACTAGATGAATATGATTATTTACAATTTTTGATCCAGTAATTATATTCACTTAGGTTGATTTTTCTCTTTTCTTTTACCTTGCCAGCATTTACCAAAAGAACTTTTACTCCCGATTCAACTTCAACCAAGGAGGATGCCACAGGTTTACCAATGGATGGAACAAGTCCACAATCCAAAAAGCAGGAATATGAAAGCAAAAACAGCAAAATATAATTAGTTGCTTTCCATGAGTGTTCTACAAACAATATCATATCTTCCCTTGTTGCAATTTGGCCCACATTCTCTAGCTGACATAGCTGAAGTCTGTACTCTTCAGATTGCCAAACACTGACTACTATGACAATACAGTTGGTCCTTGTGAATGATATACGTTAAACCACTCCAAACACTATCACCTCGTGGATACTTACAACTAACTTACAACTTATACCAGCAGAAAAAGTGATATTTTTCACTTTGCATTTTTTTTTTCAGGTGCCGCCAGTCTCATTTTTCCAACCAAAATCTGAGTTTATAATTGAGGTTTTTCAACAATGACTAGCTAAAAAGGAGGAAAATGAGTTCCCCTCGAAGCAGAAGTTGCCAGCACTTCAGATTCAGGGAGCATTTATATACAACTGATTTTTAAAAAACTGCTTTCTCCCTAATAAATTATCATGTGTTATAACATGTCATGGAGATATGCAAACATAATAGTAGTTCACTTTATAAATGCTCAGGATTGTTAAATTCATCAACTCTGCAGTCTGTTGCTACATGTAGTACATTAACATTATTTCCAATTATCCCTATTACATAGCAATAAAGAATTTACAGTGCTATCTGAATTGCAGAGCCCTGTAAATAATTCAATGCACAATTTATTTATTTGTCTTTTTGTGGCCAAATATCCCTCTGCGATCATTTCAATTATATTCTGGACCATCACTGGTTTACTCTGACCAAAATCACAGTACCAAACGCTTATGTCCATGAGATTTTCTCTGCAGGAGTTCTCATAAACTTGATACTATCTACTTTCAGCCTCTCAGTTTTTCCCACATGGAAGTTTTTAAGAACTTGTCTTCTTTACATGCTGATCTACCAGTGGAGAAAGATTTCTATTAAATGCTAAATAATGGTGAACATTGGGTCATGGTGGGAGAATCCTGCACAGAGACAAGAACAATAAAGCAGTACCTTCCTAATGTGCATCATGTCTGTGTTTGTTAGATTTCCCATCTATACTAATAAAAGGGTAATATGCTAATTAGGCCGGATAACTGGATATCTTCTGGATGTCATTCCTGATGTCCATCCTGACAAAGCTGGGGGTGTGGCTGGCCTAAAAACCACCCATGGCCCCTCACCCAGGCCAGCTTATCCCTCAGCAGGGACCCCCACCCTGACTGGAGGTGTGGTTAGCTTGCAAATCACCAGTGGCCCCTTGCCCAGGCTGGCCCCATTCCCATTGGGGATATCCATCCCGATCCAGGGCCCCCTTCAGGGCAGGCCAGCCAGTCCCCACCCATGTACCAGGCCTCTATCCTATATAATAAAAGGGTAATATGCAAATTGACCCTAATGGCAGAACGACCTGGACCACTCACTATGAGGCACACTGACCACCTCTTGGTCCCTTTCCTTAGCTGGCAGACTCCTATCGCCTGATGGCCACCCATGGTGGGGGCGAGGGCCGGTGACTGGACAGGAAGAGCTGACCTCTGGGTCCTTTCCCCCAGCCATCAGGCATCAATCACCCAATAGGAAAAAGGGAAACAAGGGGGGTGGTGGTGGGAGGCGGGGCCAGCTACGGGCAGCTGAGGAAGATGGCCCTGATTGCAGGCCAGGCCTAGCGACCATACCAGGCCTCTAGTATTTCATAAAGATGCTCTGTTTCCACTCAAGATATGTTTTCCTAATGGACCATATCGGAATGTGCAGAAGACATGAACATAAATGCTATGGTTACTACAGAAGATGAAGATGTTTCATATCCCTAAATTATATAATGCAATCTTCATAGCCTCCAAGAGTCCAGGCAAACATTTTATCACTTAGTCATTTTCTAAACTTTTTGCTGAGTTCCTCCTATAGTCCAGTTGTGCTAGGAAGGAAAACAGAAACATAAAAGCAGGTGTTCCTGTCTCCAAGTTTGTATGGCATTAGGAATTATGAGAAAAGGGGGTGCTGTGTTCAGGCTAGCTGGAGAGATTCTGGATTGGACATTAAACAGGTTTGGTTTGGTTTTGTCTAATCTCAGGACATCAAACCGTTAATGTGCCAATGAGCATTGTTCGGTTTTAGTGGGAACAGCCCTTTATGAAGGAGCGGCTCACAGTCCTGGAGTTTCACATAACCCACAGCAACTCTATTACTATAGAGTTGGGGGTATTAAGAAATGATGTCAATATTTTCCTTGCTGTTTTGACCAATAACATAGTATCTTAACTCCTTGGATCTGAAGTTTATCTCCTTGGATCTGGAGAGAAAATTAACAGGTTTCATTTAAATCCTGAAGATTAAGGTTAGTTAAATAGCTTTATCCTGAATATATTAGTAAGAACTTTGTGCAGTCCAATGTGTTTAATAGGAACTGATTTAAACCATTATTGGCACATCTGTGGTCATTAAAAAGAATTACATCAGGCCAGTTAGACCTGGAGATTTAAGGTAACTTGGAGTATTTACTTGGCAAATCCTTGAAAATATTAGCTGATGGTTTTAAAATGGAGTGGAGAGAGATCTTATGAAATACCTTTTTAAATCTGAAATAAGTATATAAAGCCACTATGTCATATTATTGAAGGCCCTAGGCTACTGTTGAATGAATGAAGGCCCTAGGCTACTGTTGAATGACTAAATATTGAACTCACAAGAACTTCAAAGGCAAAGTCAACTTTTTGTGAGCCACAGTTTTGTCAAAATTCCTTGACCCTCTGTTCATATGGAATTAAATCCAAGGACCTGTCTCCTCTGAAAATTTTTCCTATCTCTTGCAGTCACCATAAACTGGAGTTGGAATCAAAAGAAATGTTAAGAAAACACTAATAGGTTCATTTGTCCATTTTAAGGCCAGCAATTGTAGCTCCTTTACTCACCCCTTTGGCAAGGAGAGTGTGTGATATCAGCCCCCATAGAGTTGTGGCTGCTCGGCTATGTTGTTTGTAGCACTGGTACATTGAGAGGGACAAACCTTCTTGCAATGAGTCTGGTCCAAGACTTCACTTGGAGATTGACTTTTTAAAAAAAATATATATATATTGTTGATTTTGTACAGAGAGGAAGAGAGAGGGATAGAGAGTTAGAAACATCGATGAGAGAGAAACATCCACCAGCTGCCTCTTGCACACCTCCTACTGGGGATATGCCCGTAACCAAGGTACATGCCCTTGACCGGAATCGAACCCAGGACCTTTCAGTCCCCAAGCCGACGCTCTATCCATTGAGCCAAACCGATTTCGGCTTCTTTTTTGATGTAATAGTTTTGAGTCTTCTGGCCATCCTTCTCCCTGAACACACTAAGCTTCCATTGAACTTACTGAAGCCACAGAAGCAAGAAACAGCTGGGAGAAACCTGGCTTGATGTGTTCCCATTGGCTAAGATCATTATTATTTCCTTGATTAGCCATGTCTGATTTAAAGATTAGAAACCAGTTAGTTACATAACATCTTATGTATCCAGGTTCCCAGAACCAATGCTTTTTCTTATTGTTAGAGTTTACATATTTTTACTAGTAATGACATAAAAATCTATAGCTTCACAAAATAGTGTGCATAAGTCATATAAATTTAAAGGTTACATGGATTAAAAAAAATGCCTAGCTACTTAGCTAAGAAAACAATTAAAGCTATTTTTCCTCATTTTTCTATTTTGAACTATGATAAATGCATTTTTTATTTTGAAGCTCCGGTCAGTGATTTGTAAACTGTATTTAGAGTCACAGTAGTTGTTATATTTCCTCTAAAATGTATTGAATCTTATATTTAACAAATATTGTTGTATGTGGGACCAAATTCTTATGTATATAAATAGATGGTATATTTAGCAAGCAAAGCTGTTTTTTAGAAAGGGGCAAATATCTCAAATTGTTTTCATCAGGATTTGTACTATAATCCCAGTTGCACATGATATGGTAGCCAAGAGCATGAATGGTCATTGAGTAGGTGACTCCTTTTCCAAGATTCTGACACTCCTCCTCAAACAAACTGTCCCAGTATTTTCTCTCCATTCAAAACAAAACAAAATTTGTGATTTTCATGGGCTTAAAATGAGGAAGCTGTCCTCGGGAAAGCATCTGGTTTTCTTGGATCAAAACTAAACCATGAACCTTATGCCGGAAAGTAAATTTGGGAAAGTTTGTATATAAAGACATTTCACGCACTAAAGTTCAATATAAAAATAGTTACATCTTTCAACTTTTACATTCTCAAATATTTAGCAAGAAAAACACACCAGCTTATCCTTATTTGAGAAAAGAAATTTAAGCCATGAAAGATTCCATTTAGTTTCACTTCTGTACAAAGCACGGCACATCACATTTAAAGGCCAGGAAAACTGCTACGTCTAGAAGCAGAACATTAGATCCCAAGCCCCCAAACAAATTTCAGAGAAGTCTCCCTTGACTCTGATTAGTAACAGTCAATGAATCTGCGCTGCTCAGGTGAAACCAGCCATCCTTCAAATTCTAACCTCATCTGCCCCGTCTTAGTCTCTCCAGCTCTGTGCACGCCTATGCCCACCTCCTAGATCAAAATCCAACCCAGTTCAGTCACTGTTCTACCAGGTTAGCCCCACTGTTGACCTCAGAAGTCTAGTTACTCTACAACCCAGAAGAAAGAGACAGGCTAAGGTTTGTAGCATTTGCATATCTTTCAGGATCAGCCAATTAGGACAGGATTTGAATGTCACATGTCTTTGCTCTAATTATTGAAACTCTAAGTATGCTTCTGTAGCTGGGTATCTCTTCTTCCATAGAAGAGCTTGACTCCGGTATGGCACAAAGCCATGTGACACCTGTGACTGTGAGCTTGCTGCCTTGCTCTCTTGATGAACACACTGCATTTCTAAACATAGTGCCTTGTTCGTTCCCTTTCAGGAGGATAGTTTAAACTATATAACCCGATGGCCTCTACCTTTCAAAATGGAATCTTATGCCCTTGATCATGTAAGTGAGGCCATGGGGAAAAAAGCCTCTATAGTTAAAATAAAGCCACACAACATTGATCACAAT